GAGGTTGCAGTGAGCTGAGATTGCACCACTGCACTCCAGCCTGGGTGACAGAGTGAGAATCTGTCTTAAAAAACAAAACAAAACAAAACAAACAAACAAACAAAAAACCTCTTTGCCTAACCCCTATATCCCAGGGATATAGCAATATTTCAACCCTTGGGACATAGGGATTAGGCAAATAGTTCTTATATATAATGGTGTAAAAGTAATCATAAAACTCAAACTTGATAAAGGGTACTTCATAAACATTAAAACTTTTTGCTCTATAAAAGAAACTTCAGGGCTGGGCTCGGTGGCTCACACCTGTAATCCCAGCACTTTGGGAGACTGAGGCAAGTGTGTTAGATAGAAGTTCTAAATTTCTTTTCAAAGAATCAATATGTCAGGATGTTCAACTCTTTGCCTTCTACTTTTAAACTTAACTTCCTCATAAAGCAACCTTTTCGGATTACCTGCTCCACCCTTACTCATTCCGATTACCTGCTCCACCTTGACCCATTCCGATTACCTGCTCCACCTTGACTCATTCCAATTACCTCCTGTGTCATAACCATCTTTCCCGCCAAACCACTCATCCCGCCACCCTCTTTAAGTTAGCCAATCAGAATTAGTTTAGCCTGTGCAGTCTAACCCCAGCCAGTAGGGGAACGACACAGCAGCAGGGGCCACGTGCATTAGGGATAAGAACCGCTTCCCCTCCCTTGTCCGGGTGTATGCTCACCATTGCTCCATCTGTAAGGGTACACCCTTCTATAGAAGTACCCTTCCTTGCCGAGAATTAAAAAGAAAATTTTATATTCGAGTGCTATTTCTTTTGTGGCACTGAAACTTTACTTATAACAGGTGGATCACCTGAGGTCAGGAGTTCGAGACCAACCTGGTCAATAAGGTGAAACCCCATCTCTACTAAAAATACAAAAATTAGCCGGGTGTGGTGGCAGGTGCCTGTAGTCCTAAGGCTGAGACAGGAGGATTGCTTGAACCCAGGAGGCGGAGGTCGCAGTGAGCCAAGATGGTGCTGCTGCACTCCAGCTGGGGTGACACAGCGAGATTCGGTCTCAAAAAGGAAAAAAAAACGAAACTTCAGATAATGAAAAGGCCAGCTGCAGACTAGGGGAAGATACTTGCAAATCACACATGTGACAAAAGACTTGTCTGCAAAATATAATCTGTAAAGAACTCTCAAAATCCAACAATAAAAAGCAAACCACCCAAGAAAAGTTAATGCACAAAAGATTAGAACAGACACTTTACCAAAGAAAATACAGGAGTGGGCCAGGAGGCAAATGAAAAGATGGAGAAATGCAGATTAAAAGCTCTGTGACCTGTAATTCCAGCACTTTGGGAGGCCGAGACGGGCAGATCATGAGGTCAGGAGATCGAGACCATCCTGACTAACACGGTGAAACCCCATCTCTACTAAAAAATACAGAAAAACTAGCCAGGCGAGGTGGCGGGCGCCTGTAGTCCCAGCT